GCCGCGGCCCGGGCTCCCTCCGCGGCCGCTCCGCCGCCGCCCCCTGCACCACGGGCCTGGGGAACGCGCCCGGCGGAGGCTCCCCTGAGCCCAGCGCCGGGGTAAGGGCCGCGTGGGCGGCGGGAAGCGGGGGTCCCAGGAAGAGGCCGGGCGGACCTCAGGACGCAGGAGCCGGCATCCATGCACACTCCGGGCACCGCGCCCCTAGCCCTGTGCCGAGCGTGCGCGAGCTCCGCCCCCCTCTGCTTTGCAAAGCGAGACCAATGAATGATCCCATGGTACAGATGCGTAAAACTGAAGCCTTGGTGTGGGAGGGGGGGCACGCGGTTAGCTATGGTCAATGGCAGAGCCGGGCTGGAACTCAAACCTCACACCTCCAGGGCGTATGGGGCTCCTTCTGCCTCAGCTTCCCTCCCGCTGGCGTAGGGACCGTGGAGCCTTCGACCAGCTGTGATGCCAGCCGTACTCCCCCACCCCACCTCGGTTTCAGGCTCTTCACCGCTAAAACGGAGGCAACCCATTACAAGGTGTCAGACCAGCGGATGCTTTGGGAGTAGGTTCTAGCCCCGGTGGGGGGGTGGCACGGGCTGGGGACCGTTGCCCTGGCCCCATGTCTCCCCGAGGAGCAGTTCCCGACGACCCTGGAGCCCGCGGCTCTGTTGGGCATGGTGTCTTTCCCTCCCGGACTGTTTCCACAGCTCCTGGCACTGTTGCTGATATTCCCATGTGTCACACCTTCCCGGTCCGCGTCCGCCCCCCACCCCACCCCCGCCGCCTAAGGTATCTTGCCGCTAAGGTATCCCTGAGCCACTGCACGGCAGAGCCAGATTAAGTCCTTTGGCTGCCGCACCGGCGGGTGCTTGCGTTCAGGTGGCTCCTCCTTGCCACACCGGGAGAGCGTGGCTGTGTTTACCCCTCTGCGGCCTCTTCCTCCCCCTATTCCTTTCTGTCACTTTTCCTCCTTTCCTCCCCTCCTCTTTTTCCTCCTCTCCTGCTTTCCTTCTTCCTGCCAATTTTCTCCTTCCTCCTCCTCCTCCTCTCCGTCCCCTTCCTTCACCTCTTCACCAGCCCTTGACACACAGCTGGCACCAGGTCCACTTCTTTATCTGTCCCACCTCCCCCACACACAGTGAATACATTCGTGGGGTGTCCCCCTCACTGGAGGCAGGACTTCATCCGGATCCAGGTGTGAGAGTGCTCCTCCAGGTGCCCTCCTCCCGCCCGATGGAGCCAGGGTAAGGATCAGGGTGCCTCAGCAGGTCCTTGGCAAGCACTTCTTCTGGAGCATTCCCATTCCCTCCTGGCAAGACATCAGTCCCCCACCCCCACTGTCCACTCACCCTGTTTGCACAGGCACCAGGTAAGACAGTGAGGAACACGGTGGTGGGCTTGTCAATTCCTGACCTCATGGAGCACACAGAATAGGGGGAGATGTACCACAAAGAATTTGTCACAGAGTGGCATGGCATGGCATGGTGGCAAGGGTGCTGGGCAATGATGTGGGAGCCCTAAGCTACTGATCTAGGGCAGGCCTTCCCCCTTTCTGGGCCTGAGTCCTCACCTGGTCTGGTCTGATGTAACAGATAACAGGGTCCTTCCAGCTCTGATGCCCCTGGTTCTTGCAGGATGGTTCTAGTCTGGCAGAGAAATGCAGTGTAGCTCTTGCAATTGTTTCCCCTGTCTGGGCTTCAGTTTCTCTCCCTCTGCAGAATGTGGGCTTGGAGGTGTTGGATGGGGTGAATCCACACAGGGACATACACGGCCAAGCCACTCATGACACACCCTTGCCCACACTGGTCTTGCCACCTGGACCTGGACCTGAGTCCTGGCTCTACCACCTGTCCTCTTTGGGGCCCAACATTTATGGCTGAACAGGGGACTGGCAGTCCTTCCTGCTCTGAGTTTCTTTGGATTTGGGGAACTAAGAATCTACATTACAGCCCCATGGGAGCCTCAAGACAACAAGGCCCTTGTGGGCAGGGGCGCAGGGATTGGGTGGGGCCAAGGTAAGGGCTCTGGACTTGGGGTTAATTCAGACCAGGGATACAACGAAGGAGTCCAGAACTGGCTACATGCAGGCAGGAAGATGTCTGTCCTCAGCCACCAGCAAGCCCCGCGGTTATCTGACCCATGAGTACTCACTATATGCCAGGCTCTGCACTCTGATCCTTCAGTAAAGGATCTCGGAAAGGTTAGGATACCTCTTGTGGCTGATTGTGTTTTCCAGAGACAGGCACACCAATATATATCTCATCCCAATTGCTCTTATTAAAGTATGACATTGGCAGTCCCTCCAATTGAGCAGCAGGGTCTGTGTTCCCTCCTCTTGAACCTCCTTTGTGACTGCCCAAACAATAGAGTACGGCAGAAGAGATACTCTGTGACTTCTAAGGTTAGGTCATAGAAGGCAATAATGGCTTCTGCCCCGCTCTTGCTTCTCTGTCTCTCTCTCCCAGGCCACTTACTCTTGGAATCCAGCCACCACGTTAGGATGAAGCCCAGGCCTCATGGAGAGGCCATGTGAAGGTGTTCCAGCCAGCAACACCAGACTCAGCTCCAGTCCCCACTATCCACCAGACACGTGAGAGAGTGAGCCTTCAGATGATTCAGTCCCTAGCCTCAGAGCTACACCAGCTGACAAGGGGAGCAGAAATGAGCCATCTCACCAAACCTGCCCAAACTGCAAAATAAATGTTTTTTTTTTTTTTTTTTTTTTTTTTTTTTTTTTTTTTC